TGCGGGAATGGTCATCAATAAATGAAACAAAGTACTGAGCTCCTCCAAGGGATCTTTCCGACATGGAGCAGACATCAGTATGGACGAGGTCAAGAATATACCTGCGTCGTCTAGGTTGATCCGGTCTCACAAAAGAAACTCGGTGCTGCTTTCCAGCTAGGCAGTGCGTGCAACTCTCCAACGCTTGGCCTTTCAACCCGGTCAGTAATCTTTTCTTGTTCAGGATCTGTAGCCCTTTCTCGCTCATGTGGTCGAGGCGCTTGTGCCATAGCTCCAAGCTAGGTTCATCTCGAACAGAATTGGCTTCTCCGCCATTGATCTTTCCTTGCATCACGTACAAGGAGCCTTCTTTCTTACCTCGGGCCACGACCAAGTTTTCCTTGGCCAGCTTCCATCTCACACTACCAAAGTAGTTCACTAACCCGGCATCATCAAGCTTGCCTACCGAGATTAGGTTCAAAAGCATGCCAGGAATATGCCTCACATCCTTCAACACAAGTCGGCATCCGACATCCGTGGTCAGAGTTACATCACCGACACCAACAATCTTGCTGGTCACTTGATTTCCCATCTTCACGACTCCAAAATCACCACCTCGATAAGAGGAGAAAAAACCTTTGTGTGGAGTAACGTGGAAGGAGGCAACAGAGTCAACAATCCAGGTGCAGTCATCATATGCAACATTCAAATAATTATCCTCAGCAAGGAGGAATATCTCGGCATCCGGGTTGGCAGCCACCGCAGTGGTGCTCTTGTCTTCCCTCTTCTTGGGAATAATCTGATCCGGCTTCATAAAGCCGTTCTTCTCATCATTCTGCAGGGTCCAGCAGTCTGGCTTCTTATGGCCTGTCTTTCCACAGTAAAAGCACTTCAACTCATATTTCGGCTTTGACCGACCTCTGGACTTGTCTCGTCTGTCACGACCTCTACCTCGACTTTTGCTTCTACCGCGGGAGTCGGATTTTCCTTTGTTCTCAGCAACGTTGGCCTCAGACGTACTCGAAGTACCTCGTTCTCTTCTCCTGGATTCCTTGCCCAGGAGGCTGTCTGTCACAACATCCATCTTCAATTTTCCATCTGGAGTCGAGTTATTCAGGGTCACCACCAGAGTATCCCAGCTTTCTGGCAGCGAGCTCAACAGCAGCAATGCCTGCAGTTCTTCATCAATTTTCATATCAGCCTTTGACAGCTGATTCATAATACCTTTGTAGGTGTTCAGGTGTTCAATCATGCTCATGCCGTCCTTGTATTCAAGCTTAACAAGTCGCCGAACCAGATGTGCTTTGTTCCTGAGAGTCTTCTTCTGAATCATGGACTCTAATTTCGTCCACAACTCATACGCATTCGTGAATTCGGACACGTGTTCAAAGAGGCTTTTATCAATATATTTCCTGATCGTGGCTACCGCCTTCCGACTCAGGATCTCCCACTCCTTATCTGTCTTGCCTGCTGGTCTTTCATCAAGGATAATGGGCTCATGCAAATCTTTGCAGTAGAGATGATCTTCCATCATCGGTCTCCAATAAGTGAAATTATCTGCGGTCAACTTGAACATATCTCCATCATGAGTTATGCCACTGGTCTCCATCTCGTCTCCCTCAGAACCCGTCGAACTCGGGCTCTGATACCACTGTTGGGAAAAATCGGTTCCCTCAAGCTCGGCTCAGGGGCCTTTGTGCGGAAGTCAATCAACAAGATCCTGATCTCGGATCTCGACAATACCTCAGCTTGAACTTCACCAGGTCAGGCAGCGCAGCGGAAAAATCAAAACGAAAACAGGAGAGAGAGAGAAGAAGAACACAACCAGATTTAATGTGGGAAAACCTTCTCCAATGAAGAAGTAAAAACCCACGGGACCTAGTCCAGATCAGAAATCCACTATAAAAATAATGGTTACAAATAATCAAATACACCAATGTGGTGGTTAACTCAACCTCTCCAACAATGGTGATAATCAAACTACCCTAGAGATGTTTCACTCTAACTCTCTCTAGAGATCTTTCAAATGCAAAGCATAAAGCCTTGCTCAAACAATCAAATAATTCTCTCAAATTTGTTCTCTCAAATCTGACCTAGCCTCCACCCTCAACTAATGAGTATATATAGAGGAGGTGGAAATTAGGGTTAGGGTTTTTAGGAAACCCCTCAAATGGGCTTGGACTTAGCATTGAAGGAGGAAGCCCAACACCTTTTTGTAGCGTTTCCTGCTATTTAAACACATAACTTGAGTGAGAGCATGATTGAGAAGGAATAATCAATATTTCTTGTATTTAATGACTATTTTCACTTATTTATGATTAATTTCTTGCTTCTTTTAAGTTAGAAAACATCATATGCTAAAAGCATATCAGAAATCTATAATTGAAGCTTTCTTTTTTTGGTGAATGTAATTGAAGCTTTCTTTAACGTGTCAGCTAACACTACAAGAAAATGTGTATTTGGCGACCGTTACTTCACGATGGTTACATGTTAACTGCCTTGGAATTAAGTACTAAAGCGGTTACTACAACGGTTACATAGACCGCTATTGAATATTGGCAAAACACAATGGTTACATTGCAACCGTCGTTGATTTCCAAGTCGACGGTTATTCCAGCGGTTCAGTGAAACCGTTGTTGAATTACCTCTCGACGATAGTAACTACGACGGTTGGATAACAGCCGAAACTCGCATATGGAGGCGGTTTGAACCGTCGTGAAATGACTTATGAACCGCCTCTGTATAACTCTTTTGTTGTAGTGAAATCACGTCTCTCGTAAAATAAACAAGTATTAGGATTATCTTTCTAAAAGCTAGAATCTTGTTATTGTGATTAAATTTAAGGGATTATTGTTTTTTATATTATAGGAGATAATTTTATCTCCATATAAAAATGTATAAGGCCTCTTCAGGACTATGTGAAGAAAAGAGGGAAAAAAAACATGAACCTCATGTATTTTATATGTATATAGGAGATAAAATTATTTCCTATAAGATTATAACATGAAAAATATTAATTCTTAAATTTAAATATAATTTTTTACTGATTATAGAAGCTCATTTTTGGCTGGGGTCAGCTGATAAGGCCTAGATAAGATTAGTCAGATCGAAAAGTGACGATGATTTAAGTAGAAAGAATTGTGCACTCTTGACGAAGCCGACTAGCTAGGTTAGAGCCAGATTTGATAGGAGGAGGTTCCATTTGTAGGACTGTTAAGAGGCAAGTGCACAAGGAGATTGTTGGTTGTGGGCCAACTCCTAGTTTAGCAAGCAAAGTAGGATCATATATAATTAGATTGAATCACGAGATTCATGACCCTTGTTGATGGGCTTGATTAAAGAGAGTTATGCCCTCACTGACTAAATCTTTTCAAAGTAATAAGCGTTGCATCGAACACTCAATGATTGTAAGTTACGTTGTAAATAAATTGTTCATGGACAAAGATATTACACTCTGGAAATTCTATTTTTGGGGACTACTACTTATTTTGCAAGAAATGGGTGAAGTATTCTTGGATTTTAGTTTTTGAAAAAATAAAAAATTGTGAGGGAGGGAAATGTAAATCTTCTTTACTTTGTTGTCGTAAAAATCAATAAAATTTCTAGAATATCACTAGGCAAAGAAAAAGTACAACAACCAAGGTAGAAAAATGTGATTTTAAAAGCTCCAAAAGGAACCGACAAGTTGCTCTTGCTCTCGTAAGAAAGGGAGTAGTTTAACACCAAAATGAGTTGCTGAAATTTTCGTAGTTGTCATGCGTGTGGATTCTGCAAGAAAATAGCCCGTGTAATATCATTATTGTTCTATCTAGTATACAAGAGAGTTGTTAATATGATACTTCTGGTTAATTTTGAATTTTATGATAAATGTTTAAGATAGTTATGTAAATAGCAAAAGTTGAATTAAAGATACAAAACAGAATTCCTCCAAGAAAATAAACTGGGAGGTAATGCATACATTTATTTTTATATAGATTAATCCATTTATAAAGTCGAATCATTATTATTGGTCGTGCTAGTAGTATTGATAAAGCCGCCACATGTTGATTGAAGCAAATGTCAAATTAAATAGGTTGACTTAATTAAATCCCGAATTTCTTCCACAGTTGGGTGCTGGTTCAACTATGGGCTACTAAAAAAATATGAAATACTCACTTGAATAGATTTAAGCCCCACCTCCAATTATTATAGCACAGAATTTCGAGTCCATTTTCATGGAACTTTATACGTCGAGGACATATTATTATCATTCAATGCTCAGAACATATGTCCGAAATATCGTCCTCGTCACACTTTTCAGTTTACAGGGAAATCATTCAAAATTGAAAACTCAGCCTCTCATTCAGGCTAAACAACTAGGCCCACATTGAATAATGACCAGCACCACATTCTATCCCCACCTACCAATTGAAAAATCAAGAATGAACGCAACTGTCTGAAAACTTTCTATAAAAGGGCCAAATGCAACCGTCCAGGGTCCCTTCGAGACAATAAAACAGGCACGTAACCTGCGAATTGACAAAGATACTACGCATTATGCATAGGTGCATGCGCTTCCTCTAGCAACACTTGTTTCTTTTAATTTATTATATGTACGCAAAAGTGAATATTCTAAACTAGAGAAAAACAAATCAATAAGAGAATAAAGCAAAAAGAAAAGAAGCAAAAACTAAAAGTGGGTAAAACAAAATCAAAAGTCGAAAATAATTTAAAAGAAGGAAAGACATAAAAGAAAAAGAAAAAGAAAAAATTATGGAAGGACCTCAGTGGGATTCTCTGCTCTATGTTACCCCAAAATATACGAAGCTACTCCCCCCATTCATTCTGTTCATCTTTTTTTTTTTTTTTTTTGTCGTTTTCACCTTTTCTTTTTCCTTCTTTACCTAAATAAAAAAATAAAATAGACCTATATGTGCATAATAATAATATTATTATGATATAATAACAACAAAATAACATTAAAAAAACAATACCAAAAGAGAGATGAAAAATATTTAATGACTACAAAGTCACGAGTTCCATCTTCACCGTCCTCCACTTATGGAATTAAACAAGCATAAGATAAACCAAAAAATTAGGCCTATGCAATAATCCATGCTTCAAGTCCAAAGGGCTCATGAGTGTGTCAGAGAATAATATAAACCATTAAAAAGACGTTCACCCAACACCTTAAGATTTTGGAGGTTGAAATGATTTTTTACAATATTGATTGACGAGTCAACTCGGGACGAGTCGTTGATGAGGACTAATGTCTTTGAGCAAACCCAAAACCTGCTGCATTGTGGGCCTCTTTGAAGGCAAATCGGCCGTACACAGGAAAGCAACTCGGAGGCTCTCAACCATCTCCCTCACCACCGAGTCACCACCGAGTCGCAACCTCTCGTCCAATACCCTAACTCCTTGTCCCTCTCTCCACGCCTTCCTCACGACAACAATCGTCTCTGCCGTGCCGGCCTTCCCCGTTAGCAGCTCCATCAACACCACCCCGAAGCAGTACACGTCAGCATCTGTCTCGCTATTCGGGTTCGGGTCGATTCGAAACCCGAAATCTGCTATCCGAGGCTTGAAATCATCGGCTAGTAAAATGTTTGAGGTCACGAGGTGGCCGTGCACGACGGGTTTCGACCCTGCGTGGTGGAGATACGCGAGGCCACGCGCTATTCCCACTGCGATACGATGTCGTGTCAGCCACCCTAATTTTTCTGGGGATCCTTCGACGACACCGTTTTGAATCTCCCACGTGTCGCCAGTCCAGTCCTCCACGTTGGTGTCCCCTGTTGGAAGCTCGTGTAGCCACCTTCCTAAATCCCCATTTGCCATAAACTCGTACAATAGCAGCTTCTCCTTGCCTGTTAATTTCACCAAAATATTCCCAAATAATTAATTTAAAGAATACAAATAAAAGAATAATAATAATAATAATCTCACTACACACTAATTTAACATAAGTTATACCAAATCATTAATTGTTAATTTTTTTGGTAAATCATTAATTATTAATTTCATTACATTTATTTTTGCTAATATGACAAGCGACAATAATTATATGGTTTTGTTAAAGGCATAAAATTAAAAAATAAAATTAAAAAAACAAAATATATTAAACTCTTTTTGTTAATAATTAACAAAAATATAAAAATAATAATAATTTAATGCATTCAATGTCTAAAATGTATTTAACCTTTTTATGTTTAATTAGAGGATTATTAAGATAATTAGTTAGAGTGATTTAATTTTTTTCTAAAATAAAAAGAAAAAGTACTTAATATCTTGAAATTAAAAAATATTTAATAATTTTTACTTTAAATTATTGATCAAACTAATAAATATTATTTTTATTTCTAATCATGTATTTTAAAATTACATGTTAACATAATCCTAGTCATATAGCAATTAATGCTACTTCATTATCCATTTTTTTTTAAATATCAATACTCAATATGAGTTTTTAAGTATTTATTATTTATTAATTATATTAATAAATTTTCAAACATTTATAATAAAGGTAATAATCAACAAATTGAATACAGTATTATATTGGTAACTTAAGAACTCCCTTTCCCTTGTTTATTATGTAGTAGTCTTTCTTCAATATAACCAAACTAAATTTCGATACATGAATTCAAATCTGAAAGTTGTAAGTTTGATCCATCAAGGTGGGACAACCTGGTTAAAAAATACTGCACGATCTAAGTAGTAATTTTTTGCTAATTATGGCCACTAAAAAACTTAAACAACGCGAAAAGTGCATACACTAATTTCCACGCACAATCATATCCAGCGATAATAGATTATTTGTTTTTCTAGGTGAAGAAATGGTGACAAAACACGTTATCGGACAGAACATTAGAAAAATTACAAAACCCGTGAAACCCATTAATGAGGAGCAGCAACTAAAAATCAAAACTTGTGAACTTTTTTCAGTACGGTACGCTTACCTGCAATGCAGTAACCGGAAGGGGACAACAAGTTGGGGTGTTTAAGCTTGGAGAGGTCAACGAACATGGCGACAGATTCATCATGATCAACGTCTCTGACATGTTCGAGTACCTTGATTGCCACGTGGAGGTCACCGGGCAGTACTGCCCTATACACGGGCCCACACCTTCCCTCTGCTAGCAGAGAGTCCTTGCCGAAGTGTGACGTGGCAATAATAAGATCCTTGAAGCTAAGGTTCATCAATGGCTTCTCGAACATCACCACCGGCGCAGACGATGGTTCCTTCAGGTCAGCCACCCACGTGGACCCTGACTCGGTCTCGAAAGCGAACGGTCCTGATTTTTCCACCATGTTCATGCCTTGTGGGACCGGTATTGAGATTGCCCATTTGCTCCTCTTGGAAATTTTCTTCCTCTTTTTTTGAATAATGCGGAGTACCATAATGGACAAGAGAATTAAAACAAGTGCTGATATTGCACAAGACACCGCAAGAATCAGTGTTTTGGATTTTGGTTTGGGATGTTTCTGATGAATGTCTTGTTTTCCTATGTGGGGTTGGAATGGTGGTTGATGGTTGTGAGTTTTGGATGTGGTGTTGTCGTAGGCGAAGTTGTTGCCAGCGTGGATGAAAGATGATTTGCTGAATTGCTTGAACTTGTTTAAGCTGATTGAAGAGTTGAAGTTGTTGTATGAGATGTTGAAGAATTTGAGGGAGTTAAGTGGAGGGAAATCAGAAGGGAAAGCACCGGTCAATGTGTTGTTTGATAAGTCTAAGTATTGAAGAGAGTGTATAGAAGAAATGGGTTTTATGTTGCCTTGGAGATTGCAGCTTGAGAGGTCAAGGTGTTGTAGCTTGGAGAGGTTTTTGAACCCTGAGAGGATTGTTCCTAGCTTGTTGTGTGAAAGGTCGAGGATTTTAAGGTTTTGGAAGCCAGAGAGTTGAACCGAATTGGTGAACCTGTTGTGTGAGAGATTGAGAATTTGAATGGATGAAAATAAGGTGTTTTCTGATGTGGGTTTTGAAGCAATAATGATGCTCCCTCCGAACCTGTTCCTTGAGAGATTCACTTCCAATAAGGTTGAACTTGACCAAAACCAGCTTGGCACATGGCCTTGCAGGGAATTCCCAGAGAGATCAAGAACCTGCAATTTGGACATGTTTCTCAGATAACCCCAGGAAATTGTCCCGCTTAGATTTTTGTGTGGAAGCACTATTCTGCTGATATGAGACTCTGAACACTTCGAACCTCTTGTCTGGAACCAGGTGGAAGCGTTGAACCCAGAGACAGATTTGAAAGCCTTTGATACCAAGCCCTGGTCTTTACTGTTGCATGAAGATTCCACGAGAGAAAACAGCGCTAGAAGAATCAAGAATCTGCAAAAGGGCTTCATTTTCTTAGCTCCACTGTCTCTGTTTTCAGTCCTAGAAAGAAAAGAAAATAAACAGAGGTGTTGGTCTGGTCAGTTGTTGTTGCTGTTAAGGTTCGGGGTTATAGTGAAGTGGGAAGCAACAGCATCGTGTTTTGACGGAGGAGTTAACGGCACTTGGAATAACAATTTAACGGAAGTTGAGAGAGAGAGAGGGTGTTGAGCGTTGACTGTTGAACTTGAAATAAAAGAGTTTTATTTTATTCGGAAAAATCTAAGAGAATGTTCAAGTTACACCCTTATAAATTTAAGAGTAAATACCATTGTTAGTCCTTGTCAATATCTACGAAGTTCTTTTCAGTCCCTGGTAATAAAAAAACACCAAATTGGTCCCTGAAATTACAAAAAAATGGCCATGTTAGTCCTTATGTCAACTCCCAAATATGTAGAGTGGCCCTTTTCTTGTACTTTCAGGGACCAATTTGGTCCTTTTTTATTGCCAGGGACTGAAAAGGACTTCGTAGATATTGTCAGGAACTAAAGAGGGTGTTTACTCTAAATTTAAAATCTCTTAACTGTTTATTGATCTTTATTGATCATTGATGATTGCTGATTTTATTTGCATATAACCGTTTCAATTTATTAGAAATGAGAATAGTTAAATCCAAGTAGAATCAACGATTAATAAAAGGGTGTACAAATTTTTAGACTTACACTAATGTAAATTGATCTTTCCCTCAATCAATAATATCTTCGTAAATAATTAAAAATGTTAGATTTTTTTATGTTTTTGTTGTGAGTCAACAAGGTTTAATAATTTAAATGACAATGTAAAGAAATATAACGTATCCAAGAAGCAGTGGACGAAGTGATTCTCAGAATCAGAATAGTCATGGATGAAGAAATTCAGAATAATCACCAGAGAACAATTGTAGCTAATTTGATTGCTGCAATTCCATTTCAGTGTGTGCTTCATTTACTTTTAGACAAAGCAAGCGAGCTTAACTGGTTTAAACCAAGCCTAATTGATAATTGATTGGTATGGCTGAATAAACAAAGATTGTCAAATTTGGAGAGAGGTCAAGCACAAATTCGGACATTTAGCTAGTTGGTTGGAGAAAAACAAATCACATGCAAATTACTAAATTACAAAGACCTTGACTCAATAATTCTCGGTCTTCCACTTAACTACTTTAAGTCCTAATCACTCACGACAGCCTTTACGGTCCCCTTTCCTTGCTCCCTTCAGTTGATAAACTTTGCCATGTACACGTTATATGCACAAAGAAAGATATCTACAAGTAAAAGGAAGCAATAACACCCAATCAAAATGAATTCCCTTCCTATCTCTTGAAGCAGAAACAATTAATATCACAATATAACATATATATAAATAAATATATATAATAATAAACAAATTTACCTAAGAAAAATAAAAAATGAAATGGTTATCAGTACGAACTCCTATATGATGTTATTCAACATGCTTAATTTCTTTGATATTCTAAACCCAAATTGAATCCTCACTTTCTTTTAGCATACCATCGTCCTCCACACTTTATTTTGTTGTTGTTGTTGTTGTTGTTAATTTTAGAAATAGTGGTTTGAAAAAAGAATGTGGTATTCAAAACAAGCACGATATGGAAATTTCGTAAGAATCAATAGAACATGTCCGATTTCACAAAATGACAAATTACATGGTACATAATGAAATTAAGGTTGAAAGAAAAAGCATACGCGGGTTCAAAAATACAATATGATGAATTTGGAAGTTGGCAAGTAGCTTGCTCCACAAATTCCAGATGCTACAGGCCCCCTCAGTCCCTCACCTGCTCTGGCACGTGGTCTTGGCTTCTTTCTTTTGCCGTTATATACTGATTACATGTTAATACACTATGTTTGGAATCGTTTTGGAGGGTAAGTTAAGTGGATAGGGTTAACCACCAAAGCTCGCCCATTTAAACCAAAATTCCCCAAGGGCATGATAACTCACTTTGGATATAATATTAAACTTAGAGACTTAATTATATTTGGGATAATTATTATAAATAATATAGCAACCTACACTCGTACCTGAAAGTTGATTCATCAGTGTGGCTGAGCAGGAGTTGTTACGCCCCACTATACTAAAATCGACTTTGGGATTGGTAGTGAAACTGTGAAAGAGCAGCATAGGAGCAACTAATACAAGGTGTAAAGGAGTGTTAGGTTTACCCCACAAAACGCTTAACATATATAACCACAATGCTTTAATGTACATTAAAACCAAAATATCTATTGAACAAAAAATTCATATTCATATACATTAAATTTAAAAACCTCTCATGCATGCAGCACATAGGTAAGATAATTAGTATCCATTAAAATTATATTTCCACCCATTCAGCAACCAAGAATTGTGGGTCAAAATAGAAACTCATATTAAAAATTAATTGAACATCATCTTAGTTAGACTAATTTCTCTTGTTGGGTTGTCTTCTGTTTTACAACTTCAGTTCCTAGTTATATAGAAGAGTTGTAGTACCGAATATATATATATTTGGAGAAGAGTACCAAATAGGCAAATAGTTTCTTTCAGTTCTGTAACAATACCTTGGCGAATATATAGAGGCCCTTGTACTGCTGAGACTTTACTAACACTAACACAGCAGCTGCACCAGGGAATGGATACACAGCACAAAGGCACTAGATCTAAGCCTACTATTTTTTATTTCTGGTGTGTAATTCATCCTAAATCATGAAGCAAATATATTTTCTCAATTCATGTATTAAATCAACGCTTAATTGTTCCCAGCAACCTTGTAATGCTAGAAATCTACAGTCACATGAATCTATTATCAAGCTCACATTGATTTAATTTGCACTATGTCTATACGTATGTAAATTTGTCCTCAATTGAAGAAATTAAAAGGTGACCAGATCCTCCGTTGGAGAATGCTTACTAAATGAAACAGCAGCCTTACAATTCTTTTGAATCTGTCATCTGGTCATGGTTCAGAGCTGATCTGGATAAATATCTAGGCCCATATATATGAAGAAAGACTCCAGGGGCGTTTGGTAGACGAAATTTCATTTTTATCCGGGAATCACGATTTTTAAGAATATGATAGGAAGATGAGTTTTATGGGAATGTTATCAAAAAGTTGTTTGGTAGACTAAAATATTTTCGGAAATATTAGGTTAATTTTCTTGATACTATATTTAGTTGTATTAAATTTTTCCTTGCCATAGAAATCATAGAATACCACCTCTTGGATGGTATTCTTGGATGGTATTTTTTAAAAAAATTACACACAAAATAAAATTCCGAGAAAATTTTAAAAATCTTGTACCAAACGTGGGTAAATACGATTACCACTTTCAGTTTTTCGGAAATCCTAAAAAAAACCTTGTATCAAACGCTCCCTAACGTCAACAAAAGCTGCTTGCCGTGATTGCCTTCACCTTCAAGAGAACAGCTCATGCTACAGTTGCTATTATATCTCGGCAAGCTTCTCGGTAAAACTTAATCACCAAGAATATTTCACCTCCATGGAATTTCTGCAAACATTATCTCCAAGCCACCCACAAGAACCAATGAAGACAATTTACCGCCTCACAAGAGCTACTAACTTGGGAAGCATCTCCCCACCAAGCTGCTCATTCCCCTGCTATAAATACCAATGTGCCAAATTAAGGTAGATATCTTCTTCTACGTAATAAAAACCTACTTGAACCAAATCTGATTTGATTGTCGGAATGTCTTGCAGGTACACTCTCCACCTTGTTTCATTGAAGACCCATGGGTTAAAGCTGCTCCAACTGCAGGCTACACCAACTCAAGGCAATTCTAGGTCATTTGTGTAGAGGAAGATCAAACGATTAGCCCAAATTGTAAAACTGGTTCTGATCAAGAGGGTTGAGGTGTGAGCAATTTCTCTTCACTGTCAAAATTTTCTCAATCTTGCACAACTAGTGATAGAGTAGCAAAACGGGATTTAGGTAGATCTTACGTTCTACCTCTGAATATGTCACATTTTTCGATTGAACAATTAAACTGCTATGAGATTCTTTTGAACTCTGTAAAAACATTATCTTTAAAGAATGTCATTCCAGCCCGGTAACTCATCATGCAGATTATTAGCGGTAGGAAACCCTCATATCTGGAAATCAGTATCATATGTATTATGTACGCCCACGATTTCACTATGAACTACCATGAGCATTCATTTTCAAGAATCCCTGAGTTTCAAGGTTCTATTCCTTTTACCTTTTTAACTTCTTGTTTATTCTGCTTGATTGTGTGTTATTTGTTGATTTTAAAGGAAAGAATCCCTTACGGTCAAGGCAATAATAATTTAGGATTATTTCTGAATGGATATTTAATTTATAGAGGGGCTTTAATACACAGATTTCATCTCTTTTTGGTTGACAACAGAACACCAATCTCACTTCTATTAATAATAAACAAAAAGATGATTCTAGTCTCATAACTAACACTGTCCTTTCAAAGACACAATTGAAAGTAAAATAAATCCAATGACAAAGACCAAGAGAACATAGCATAGATTCAGTGAATGAAGACTGATGAAAATTTGAAATTAACATTTTAACTTTGTTTTATATCAAAATAACCTAGCTGTGATCACCTTTAAAATATTGCATTGCATGTTCTTTGAGAACTAAGATTTCTCTCCTTCAAATAACCTAGCATTTAGACATGCCTTGATAGACTGGCCTAAAAGACACCAAATTAAAGGTCTAAAATCTGAGCTTGATATAGCATAAAAACTTGAGAGGTCGTTACTATCATAACTCTGGTATGGTCCAAGAAGTAAACCAAATGCAATTTGTAGAAACGCCATCAATTATTTTATTCAAGCATCACAACAGAAGTATATTACATACACATGCAGTTGATAAACATTATTTTTGGAGAGAAGGGCATATAATTAAGTAGTAATATGCCCAAGTCCAAAACAGCACTACAAAATGGCGTTGCTTAGAGAAACCTTTAGGTTTCAAAAGGATGAGCTGTTCATCCTCTAATCCACTATATGTCCGAAGATAAAAGTGGCGAAGATGATGAAACCATTTTGATTGGGAAACCACCAGCAAAATTGATCGCACATACCCCATTAGGCCACTCATCTGTAACGTTCCTTCTGATAAGGAGGTACCCTTTCTCTCCCCAGTCTTTTCCCCACGAGTTTTTAACAATCCAATAGTCTTCACCGTCCATGGAATCATAACCAACGATTAAAGCAACAAGAGTTGTAAATGTTGAATTCTTTGTGCAGAACTCACCATCATAGATTCCCTGATCAAGTGAAAACAACAATTCACAATCTTTACTAGCACAACTATATACCCAATAATCACTGGCTTTGTTTTTGTGTAATGGATAAGTGTACTTACACCAGCATAAAACTGAAGGCCAGTTGCATCCAAACTCACACTAACAGGCTGCTTACTGACACTGCACAAGAGACCTTCTTCTGAATTAAGCACAGCTCCAAGGTTTTCAATACTAACAACCTTTTTTGCATCCTCCTTCAAGAAAAAATAAATAAAAAAAATTGACCTTGAATTAGCTATACGAAAAGAAGATCTAAGCTAGTTAAAATGTTTGAAAACGAAATTTTTATTCTGAAAAGGAAAGGCTAGTAGTAGAAAAAGAAATTAACCAGACCTTGCAAGTACCATTTTGAGCTATGTAAGGATAATTAGCTTCAGTATCAATCCCACCATTGTCTATAACCCAACCAAATGCATTGAAGTAAAATCCTCCAGCACAACCATTGCTAGCAGGGTCACAGTCCACGAGTTGTTGTGCAGATAGGCTGATAAGTTTACCCGTAACTATTTTATTTATTCCTTCGATGGCCCCAGAGACAGAGAAAGCCCAATGGCTAACTAATAAAATGACATGTTAAATCAGTACCAAAAACTTGCATACTTAGCTAATATTGCATAAAGAGAGTATACTTTTGCATAAAACACCCATCATTTAGTGCATTTTTAACTTATTTTGAAATAAAAACAACTTTATTCTATCTAAAACTAAATTTTAAACTACATACATCCTTTACTGTTATATACAATGAAAATGAAGAAAGAAGATGCTAATAATGAAAAAGTATTTTTGAAGGAGGGATATAATAAAATCTTACGGCAGTTTCCTTGGTCTCTAACTTCAGTAACAGCTCCCTTTGCCGTCCAATTCACAGAAGCAGGAAGATTCTCACAAGAGTCATCATCATCCTTCAGGTTCCTAATGTTGTCCCAGTTGGAGGGCATCTTTATCTCTTGTGTGTATGTTTTCTTGAACTCCTCAGGACTCATATCAGCAAACTTGTTGAGACCAAAACGATATTGAAATGGTGACTTTCTCTTTGCATTCATCTCATTGATATACCTCAAATTCCTTTGGAAAATCTGCAATCTGTTTGCCTTCTCCCCTGAGTTTCCATACTCTCGCCCGTGCTCCTTCTGCCACAGCTGAAACAGTTCAAACACTTGTTCCTCTGAAGAAGAAGAAGAAGAAAACCTGTCTAGCTGATCATACCTTAAAATGGAGCACTCACTAGGCGTAGTAAGGGAGAGACAAATGAGGGAAACATGGAGGAAGAAAAGAAGAAACAACTTGGTCATCTGGAAAATCAACGTTTACACAGATGTGTTACCAAGTGTTTGTATTCGTTATAATCCTTGTATAGATGTGTCACATATATAATGAGTAAGGGATGATTATTCTGCTTCATGAACCAACCTAAGGGAATTTATTATTGACCATATAGGAACATTTATCATGAGTGTTGTTATTTTATTTATTATTTTGGTGGTCCAATCAATTTTGTGTGTGGTCACAAGTATTATTGTTGTTTTATACCCCTAGATTTGACATTATTGTAATTTAATTCCCACGAGTTTCACATGTAGGAAGGAAAATCTGATGATGTTACGTATTATAACTATGTACTATGGGTAGTATACTAGTACATAGTTACATTTTTTTTGCAAACCAAATTTCTTTCCTGTAACATGACGGATTGAACCTATGTATATATATAATTAATGAGTTTATTGTGAATAAATAATTAATTAATGAGTTTGATTTGAAAAATGATAATCATTGATTGGCGAAAATCAACGGTTAAGATGTGGTAGTAAGATTATTTGGTTATCACAATATCCTATCCCTATATATATATATATATATATATATATATATATATATATATAGGAAAAAACATTTCTCCGACAACTTGAGATAAGTTTATCTCCGGCCACCCCAAAACTACGTCGTTTTATTTATTTATTTCCTTATATTAATTGATTCACCTTTGAATGATTATGATTCCCTTTTTCTCTATCTTCCTTCATCACTATTGATCCATCTTTGTACGGTTATGATTTAGTAGCCGGAGATAAAATTAAGAAATGATAAGCCCATATATATATATAGTAAGGATATTCTTACACCAGTGTGAGGGTTAGAAGTCTTACACTCAATCTGGATCATTGATCCACTTGTATCCAATGGCTCACATCACTAAAAAATTAGAGCCCTTAAATATAAGTGGAATCAATGGTCAAGATTGAGAGTGTAATTTACACTGATATAAATTGATCCTGGCCCATATATATATATATATATATATATATATATATATATATATATATATATATATATATATATATTATATATATATGGCTTTAATATTTCTATAGTGAATACCTATGAAGCACCGACACTTCAAAAATCCTGACGTGTCGTGTCCGACACTTCTCGACACTCATCGACACTCCGGCACTCAAATACTTATTGCAAAGACTCAAAAAGGGTTCAAATGTTACATTACGTTGCATTTTGAATTCCAACTATTAGATTCGTTGAATTACGATTACCATTTTATTGAGTTTAATATAAACATTTGAGATATCTTACGTTTCTTTACAAAACTAATGGGTATTATAAGGGTAGCTTTATTTTTTTATTAAACTATTGAAAATTAAATATAATATACACTATATAAATTAAAAATATTATATAGTATCAAAACGTGTCCTAACGTGTCGAAATTTAATATTTTTTAGAATTAACGCGTCGGAGTATCGTATCGTGTCGTATCCCGTGTTCCGTGTCGGTGTCGGTGCAACATAGGTGAATACAGATAAGTTATCTCTATTCACTACCAAAATGACGTCGTTTTGAGTTGAAAGATTAAAAAATTATAATGATAAAGACTATTATAATCTTAGAATAAATTATAATAACAAAAGCACATTGATTTCTGCTCCAAAACAACGTTGTTTTGAGCTCAATGCAGATAAGTTATCTGCATCACTGCAGATAAAATGAACCCTATATATATAGGAAAAAATATTTCTCATGTCACTTGAAATAAGTTTATCTCAAGCCACACACTTATATGCACTACAGGTAGTACATAGTTATAATGTTAAAGTTACTTCTTTTTTCTCTCTCTACGTCATCACACAAGTTCTGAAAAATGTATCAAGAGAAAGAAAAAAATAATTTTAATATTATAACTATATACTACCTGTAATACATAATTATAAGAAGTGACTTGAGATAAATTTATCTCAAGTGGCTGGAGAAATATTTATCCTATATATATATATATATATATATATATATATATATATATATATATATATATAGACACACACACACAAGATCTTTGACACAGGTGTCAAACTTTAAAATTTGACATCAAATCCTAACCGTTGATTTTTGTCAATTAACGGTAATCAATAATTAATTAATAAGTTTGATTCCTAATAAATAATAATCGTTAATTAGTGAAAATCAATTATTAGAATTTGGTGTTAAATTTAAAAGTTTAACACCGATATCAAAATTCTATCTCTCACACACACACACATATATATATATATATGAGGTAGGATTTTTTGACACCGGTGTCAAATTTGAAGTTTGACACCTCATCTGAGCCGTTAGATAAAAAAGATCAACGCCTCTGATTTAACGGCTCTCAGATGAGGTGTCAAACTTCAAATTTGACACCTCATCTGAGAGCCGTTAGATCGAAAAAGATCAATGGTGTCACATGCTTACAAATCAGAGTCGTTGATCTTTTTGGATCTAACGACTCTCAGATGAGGTGTCAAATTTAAAATTTGACACCGGTGTCAAAGTATCCTACCTCTCTCTATATAGAGAGAGGTAGGATACTTTGACACCGGTGTCAAATTTAAAATTTGACACCTCATCTGAGAGTCGTTAGATCCAAAAAGATCAATAGTGTCATATGCTTACAAATCATAGTCGTTGATCTTCTTGAATCTAACGGCTCTCCGATAAGATGTCAAAATTCAAATTTGACACTGGTGTTAAAGGATCCTATCTCATATATATATATATATATATATATATATATATATATGAGCTAGGATATTCTTACTACCCATTTTTTTTACTACCACCTCACTACCACTTTAATCACCATTGGATTAGAGAAAAAGTTGAATGAAGAGAGAGAAAAAAAATAACTTTTGAATTCAATGGTGATTAAAGTAGTAGTGAAGTGGTAGTAAAAAAAATGGTAGTAAGAATATCCTACCTATATATATATGGGGCAGGATATTCTTACACCGGTGTAAGAGTTAGGAGTTTTACACTCAATCTTGATCATTGATCCACTTGTATCCAATGGTTCACATTACTAAAAAATTTGAACCCATAGATATAAGTGGGATCAATGGACAAGATTGAGAGTGTAACTTACACTGGTGTAAAATGATCCTGACCCTATATATATATATATATATATATATATATATATATATATATATATATATATATATATTATTAACATATCCAAATCCATTTAACATACATATATTATTAACATATCCAAATCCATTTAACATACGGGTTAAATGCATCAAATAATGTTACCAAAAAAAATGCATCAAATAAGTTTACCAAAAAAACAAAAAATCATCAAATAAAGGGATAAATGAACTTAATGGTTACGACTTACGAGAACATTATTAGTTTTCTTATAATTAATATTTTTTTATCAAATTGAAACTTATATGACATTAACCATAAAAAAATAAATTAAATAAATATAACTAGTTAAGTTATTTTTTTAACTTTAATAATTAATATTTTAAATTTTCAGTATTATGATTGTATTAAAAATATTTTCTCAACTCACATATCTAAATAGATGACTGGTGTTTGTTTCAATTTTTTAAGTGAAAAATGATATATAATAAATTAATAGCCCTCAAGTAATGTCAAATCTAAGCTTTTTAAATAAATCCGAATTTCTCATTCTAAAATAAAGTCACAACAAACCTGAACTTTTAAAGCAGAGTCATTTTGTAATACCACTTCTGAACTTCCAAATCTAAAGCGAAGTCAACAAATTCAAGTTTCCGAAAAATAAAATAAAATTGTATTTTAGTAATGAAATGAATTTATTTTTAGAATTTTAACAGTTTTAAATGTTGTTAATAGTTTTTATTTTTTATTTTGAAGTTTTAATAACTGTGTTATTGTTGGCTAACATTGTTAAAAATAAAAAACATAACTGCCTAATGGGCCAGCCCATAGGTTAAATGGATTGGTATGTTTAACTCACAAACAAAGTAGGTTGAGATATCTCCAAAAAAAAAAAAAAAAGAGTAGGTTGAGATAAGCTTAAACCAACCAACAGTTTTTTAATAATAATTTTTATTTTTATTTTTTTATTTTATTTTTTTACATAGGGCAAAAGCCTAAAACAGAAATAAACTTAGGGATTGTTTGGTATAGAGATTTTAGTTGGAATGATGAGAAAGTGGAATAAAAAAAATTTCTTTACCATATTTGATATGAGGAAAGTGTTGAGATATATAGTCTCACATTGGTTAGATGTGCAACTAATATGGAGTTTATAAGGCCTTCGGCACTCCCACCCTTTGAGTTAGCTTTTGGAGTGGTGTATCCCAAAGGTTCTTAACATGGTATCAGAGCTTGAGCTCTCGTCGCCTCTCACTTTAAAGTGGAATTAAAATAAAAAAAAACACAAAAGGTAAACTAAAAATTGGGCTTGTGGAATTCCACGTTCTACCCAGAGGCCTTGCGTGAGGGGGCTTGTTGAGATATATAGTCCCACATTGGTTAGATGTGCAACTAATGTGGAATTATGTTCACTTTCTGTTAAGAACTTTTGGGATACACCACCCCAAAAGCTAGCTCAAAGGGTATATAGTCCCACATTGGTTAGATGCGCAACTAATTTGGAGTTTATAAAGACTTGGACACTCGTATCCTTTGAGCTAGTTTTTCGGTGGTATATCCCAAAGATTCTTAACAGAAAGTGAACATAATTCCAGTAAAATTATTTCTCCATCGTTTCCCTTTTCAACTACTAAACACACCTAAAAAAGAATCCAACCCGGAACCCAGGCCATGTATTTTTTTTTCCATTAACTCGGAATCTGAATATAATATTTGGAGACCAAAATACCCCTCATTCTTACGTTCATGTTAATGATATTCATGCTTGCAGAGAAGCTACTGACTAGTTGTTGTGTAGTATCGTTATCTACATACCTTTGAAATCCAGCTTCAATTAACATGTCTTCAAATTTTAGGCTTATGAAATCTCTTGGACAATTCTCCAACACAAATTTACAATAAAATAAAATAA